ATATTAACGTATGATGGGTTTCTTTTTTGGACATGAATAAATATTTTAAAATTTTATCAGCTTAAATTTCTAACACAGTAAATATCAATAAATATATCCTACATAAACAAAAGCTCTTTGGGGTTTTGAATAATTTTAAAGACTGCAAAGAGGTCCAGAGACCAAAACTTTTAAGAATCTTTAAGATTATAAGTAGGTGAGAAGGTGCTGGCTTGTACTGATAGGAGTTCCCTCATCTCTATACTACTGAATCATATATTCAGGCCCTTTCCCCAGTAAAAGTTAAGCCCTTTGAGGATAGGGTCTGTAATTAAGTCTATATAATTATGACTGACTTAAGGAGGACAGAAATTGACATATAATATTTCTGTATTACAAATTAAGGATGGATTTATCACCGGGTAAGCCTGGTCAAATGTCCTGAGCCTTGACTTGAATCTTTTCCCTCATGGACCTTAAAAGGTATTATTAGCACAGTGCCTAGCACATAATAGGTGCTTAATAAATCTTGATTGATTATTCTTCTTCCCTTCCTTTACCTCTTCCCTAAAAATGAAGAAAACTCCCCTGGATATCATAAGGAAGTGAACTACAGCAAGGATTTTGTTTTGTTTGTTTTGTTTTACTATCTCCTGTGTAGTACATAGTAGGCACTTAATAAAGGCTGGTTAACTGACTGACTGAATGTTGCTAGTCTGACCAAAATTGTTAGACTCCTGGGGGTTGTGTTTGTAAGTAGAGAGAGGCAGAGTGCCACATATGTATGGTAAGGTTCCGCATGTGTCCAGAAAGGAGTGGTGAGGGTGATGTCCTCATGTGGGTGGCTTGAAAGGACAGAGAATAGAAATCTCTAGCCTCTTTTGTACCCACCCTTCTCCAAGTGAAAGTTTCATTCCTGCCAGGGAAACAAGAGGTTGGGGCCAAAGGCTACCCCCTGCTCTACTTGGAGAGAATGGTTACCAGGCTAGAAGTACATCTATCTGTTCCCTTAAATATTGTTCGTCTAAGTAATCTGATCGGATTCCATCTAACTTTTGATTGCTTTGTCATTTTTGATGGAAGAGAACCCCCAAGCTTGACCCCTTTCCCTATCAGTTCCACAATGAACTGATATAGAAACTGACATAGAAAATAGCAAAGAAACCCATTTATCCAAATCATAGCGAAACAGAAATCAGAGAAGGTATACATACCAGGCAATACAGAGTGAAGGATCTTTCCCATTGGGAGAGAGAGAACTCAGTTCAACCAAGAGAGAATATCCTAGAACTCATCCAAGAGGAAACTCCCCAAAGTCTCTAGAGTAACAAGCTGAAAATAGGGACATGATGGAGACTGCCCTCTCCTCTCACTTCTTCCCAGAGTCTTTTCCTTCAGCATTGTAGTGGGGTTGGCCTCTTCCATTTTCTCTCTGGAAGCAGGAGTGCTGGAATCACTTGACTCTTGGAAAGTCCCCAAAGCCATCTAGAAGAGGACTGGCTAAGAACTGGAGCACTTGCCTCTTACCAGCTAAGAGCTTCCCCTCATGCCTTGATCTCTTCCAATAAAGAGAGTCCCATACCAGTGGGGACAGGGGATAGATAGATATAGATATCTATAGATATACATACATATATGTGTCTATTTACACATAGAAACATATATATAATATGTAGCTATTCATAAGAGCTTATGTTACGGGCAAATATACATAAACACATATACACAGATATAGATATTTACAAGAGCTCATCTAGTGGGCAAAATTTATTTCTAAAAGGATAGTCTATTTCCAAAGATGATTAGGGAAAAAGAGAAAGAATGTACATGTTCTAAAATGTTCATAGCAGCTCTCTTTATGGTGAGAAGGAACTGGAAATTGCAGGGATGCCCATCAATTGAGGAATGGCTTAACAAGTAGTGGTATATGATTTTATGGAATACTACTTTGCTGTAAGAAATGATGAGCTCAATGATCTTAGAAAAACATGAAAAAAAAGGAAAAAAATAGAAAAACATGGAAGGACTTGAAAGAAATAACGAAGAGCAAAATGAACAGAACCAAGAGAACATTGTATACAGTAACAATAATATTGTTTTGAGAACAACTTTGAGCAAATAAGTTATTTCGTCTATTATAAGTACCCAAATTAACTATAAAGAACATATGAAGAAAGATGCTATCTGCATCCAGAAAAAGAACTGATAAATGGAAGTATGCATAGAATAATTTTACATACACACATATACACACACATATATGTATACATATGTGTGTGTGTTCGTGTCTAATGGAAGCCATGTCTAAGGATGGAAGGAAGAAAAAAAAGAAAAACAATTTACACAATAATTACGTTGTATATGTAAAAGGAATAGCAAGTTGTGCATAGATTTGCATTTTCATATACAATCTTTCTATTGTACTATGTTATGAAAATGCTTGTTTTATTCCATTAATTTAAAATATTTTAAAAAAAGAAAGAAAAAATTTTTAAGATAGTTTTTTTCTAAACTTCTTGGATGACAGTATTTCAGCTTGGAATAGCTCTTGGTGTTGGCTCCAAGATTTTCCTAAGTGTAGACCATGGAAGAGCACTGTGTTTCTTCAGGAGGTGAGATTTTTCTCCCTTGGTTGGCAGCTCCATCTTGATTTCTGTGTGCTGATGCTCCCAGAGACCCAGCCAAAGGCAAAGTTGGAATCTCCTCAGGGCAATTGTAAAAACCACTCTTGCCTATGTGAAGTTTAAAAATATATTTTTAATAATATTTCATTTCCCTCCAATTACATGTAAAAACAATTTTTAACATTCTTTTTTTTTTAATTTTGAGTTCCAAATTCTCTTCCTCCCTCTCTTTCCTCCTTCTCCCTGAGATGGTAAGCAATCTGATATAGGTTATACATGTGCAATCATGTAAAACATTTCCATATTAGTCAAAAATATATATTATTAAGAACTTTTTTTAGCCACACCTGTGGTTTCTTTGGTCTAACTTTCTCTACCAATTCAGATCAGGACCTTCTCTGAAACATTTAGTTTTAAAGAGTTGTCTCAGCCACTGGGAAGATGCGACTAGCCCAAAGTCACATGACTTATATGAATTTAATATTGAAAAAAAAACCCACAACTAATGTGCTTAATAATTATTTACATTGAAATTAATTCATTTCAATGCATAAAGTATCATCATAATTTTTCACTCATTCCATCTAAGTTCTCATCAGGATATCTTTGTCTTTTCATTCACTTTTTCCCTTTATATGGTTGTAATTAGTGTGTACTCTTCTGCCTTTTTTTCCTTGCTTTGCATTATTTCATGAAGTTCTTTCCAGATTTCTTGCTATTTCTCATATTTTTTATTCTTAATTGCAATATAGTTTTCCATTACCTCAGTGTACCATGATTTATTGATCCATTCCCCAGGTGTTGGACATACTGTTTTGAAGGTAGAACTGAGGTTATCTAATTCAATCTCCTTATTTCACAGATGAGGAAACTGAGGCCCAGAGAAATTATGACTAGCACATGATCACACATGTAGTATGTAGTAGAGCTGGAATTCTACCTTAGGGCCTCCACCTCCAAATCCAGCACTTTTTTTCACTATACAGTTAGGGTGCTCCCATTTTCTTTTTTATGCAATTATACAGAGTTCTACCATCTTCAAATATTTTTGTTTTGTTTTCAATAACAACTTTAGTGTATATTCACCAATAATGGACATATTCAATTAAAGGGAATGATTATTTTAATAACTTTTGCTGCTTCCTGCCAGATTACTTGCCAAAAGGTACAAGTTTGCAATTCTGCCAGCAATGAATGTATATCAGTTTCTGTATATGCCCATCAGCATTGTTACATTACTTTTAATTATTTTTTGCTAATTTGATGGGTACAAAGTAGTACCTTAAAGTTGTTTTAATTTGCATTTCTGATTATTGGTAAGACTGAGCATTTTTTTAATTGTTTACTAAAATTTGGGTTTCTTTTTTCTTAATTGTTTAAGAATTATAAACCATTAGCAGCTGGATGGAAAATGACTCTAAATCACTAATAATCAAAGAAATGAAAATCAAAACAATTCTGAGGTTTTACTTTACTCCTCGAAAATTGGCAAATATTACAAAAGAAGGAAAGATGAATAATAGACGGACCTCAGGCACACAAGTACACTAATATACAATTGATGGAGTTGTGAATTGCTTCCATAATTCTGGAAAGCAATTTGTAATTATGTTAAGGAAGTGGTTAAAATATCCATACCCCTTTAAGTCAGAAATCATGCTGCTAGGAATGTGCTCCAAGGAGGTCAAAGAAAGAAAAACCCCAGATTTAGTGAAAATATTCAAAGGCATTTGTTTTTTGGTTTTTTTGTGGTAGCAAATAAAAGAGAGAAAAAGTAGGCATCCATCAGTTGAAAAATACTTAAGCAAAGGGCAGCTAGGTGGCCCAGTAGATAGAGCCCTGGCCCTGGAATCAGAAGCACCTGAGTTCAAATTCTGCCTCAGACATATAACACTCACTAGCTGTGTGACTCTGGGCAAGTCACTTAACCCCAATGCCTCACCAAAAAAAAAAAAAAAAAAAGGGTTAAACAAAATGCGGCATAAGAATGTAATGGAATATTACTATGCCATAACAAACAATGAATATGAAGAATTCAGAAGTACGTGAGAAGATTTATGTGAGCATAGACAGAATAAGCAGAACCAAGAAAATAATATACATGACCATAGCAATATAAATAAATGGAAATATCACTCAGATGAAACTAACAGTGAAAGCATGATAGCCAAGCTGAGACCTAGAGAAGGGTTGAGACAATATACCTTCCTCCCTTCTTTGCAGAAGTGAGAAAATATTGGTGCATGTACTATTAGACATGTTGGATGTGTTAGCTAGTTTTGCTGAATTTTTTTTTTAATCTGTTTTACTGTGTGACCCTGGGCAAGTCACTTAACCCCAATTGCCTCAAAAAAAAACCCAAAACTGTAAAAAATCTTTGTTTTAAGAGATGACTCACCAACCAGAGAATGAGTACAATCTTTGGCTTGGTTTGCCAAAAGACATCTTCCTTGAGGGGAACAGTGCAAATCCTAGGTGAAATGTAAAATATCTATTCAGTAAATGTTTATGCTTGTATAGTTTTAAATCTCAACAGTGGTTATTAATGCCAGTTCTTTAGTTTAAGCTTTTCTGACAAAGAGTGCTTAAGAGAATCTTTTGTATTTAAGGTTGCTTTTGTGTGTAGGAAATAAATAGCTACCCCATACCTGATTTATATTTTACATTGTGTACCTTTCTGCTACTCACTTTAGGGAGATACTAGATATAAGACAAATCTAAATTTTAAAAATTTTCTCCCTGGGGAGTGGGGTTGGGCCATAAAGAATGAAAAAGTATGACTAAAGAGATTGGCTCTTCTTTTAGGTCTTCAGACTGGACTGAATTCATGGGCCCAAACTATATGGGTCAATTAGCAGAGAGGGAGAGCTTCTATATTTCCCAGCCCCAGTCAGGACCCAGCAGCAGTTATTAATTGACCAGCGTTGTCTTTTTCTTTTAGAACCTAGAAAAATGGAAGCTCCCTGAGGTTAAGTACTGTTTTTCATTTTGTCTCTGTATTCCCACCACCTAGCATTATGTATGACCTGCACCTAGTAATTAATAAATGCTTGTTGAGAGGGCAGGTAGGTAGCAGAGTGAATAGAGCACCAGCGCTGGAGTCGGGAGGACCTGAGTTCAAATATGGCCTCAGATACTTAGTAGCTGTGTGACCCTGGGCAAGTCATTTAACCCCAGTTGCCAAAAATAAAATAAAATAAAATAAATGCTTGTTGAATTAAATTAAACTCCTTTTCACACATTAAGGAACAAGACCATTTCATGATTTGGAAAATAATATTCTCAACAACCATATCTGGGGACTGTTGAAGAAATTAGGTTTATTACAAATAGAAGCTTTTCAGATCAGACTATGGGTATCAAATTGTCTGCCCTAAATATTAAAGAATAAACATTTTACATTACAAGTTCCATCTTGTTTTCCCCAATCATGTTTTCCATGGATTGTGTGGTGAAGGGATGTGTTGACACAGGTCTCTTTCTCAAGCTCCTTTCAGTACAACTGGGCCTCTCTGTGCTAATGTGTAGCACGGTAAACAGAGCAGAGATTTTTGTGCATCATTGGCTGGATGGTGGCTGAAATAGAGAGAAAGTAGAGCAGGTGTAAAATAAGCTTTTTTGAGCCTCTGGAAGAAACCTTGTCATTTTCCCTCATTAATAGATTCCTCAAACAGGCCTGTCAAGTGAAGCCCTTATCTTTCCACAATCAGCACAGTTGGGCAATTGATCTGTGGAACTGGAAGGCAGCAGTTGTTGCCAATAATCCTAATGAGAGCACCAGTCTCTCTTCCCCTCTGAGGCTACCCACAGACATCTTATATAAAAAAAGCAGGGCTATCTTCAATTTCTGAGCTGCTATTTCTCAATTAACCTTAATACAGAAGAGCAGACTTAGTTGGAGAAAAAAAGAGAAGTGAAATTCTAGAGAGTCCAATTACATGGATGGCTTTCTCTGTGTATCTGTGTTCCCCTGGGTTGCTAGTCTTTACCACCAGCTGCTGGGGGTCTTAAGACATTAAAAAGGGATTTCACCCTAGTCTGATCTTACCAGAGAGATCTGCAGTCACATCTTGCCCCTCCCCATCTGCAGTTAGTTGCATACTGAGAGAATAGTAAATATATACATGCTGTGTGGACCTCCTTTCTTTTGTTGGAGGGAATCTAGATCCACTCCCCTCACCAACACTATACTATTCTGGGCTTCCATATGTGGGATTTCCACTCTTATGGGCCATCTGCTCCTCTGCTTCTCATCTTCTCAGGTAAAATGGCTAGAACACCTCTCTCAGGCAAGAGCAGCTGGAAAAGATTACATGCTATTATTACACCTAGCCAGTGTAGTCAAAAATCCCAGGCTAAGGTTGTCTTTAGACATCTGGATGTGAGCTCATAGTCCTTGGTCCTAGACATATATCTGACTTGAGGTTAAAAATTCCTTTTATCTCCTGTTAATCCCTGATTTTGAACCTATGTCCCCAAAATCCATTTCAGAGACTCTGCTTCCCCCCAAATCTCATATGACCTGCATGGAGGCTCAAATGCTAAGGCTCACCTCGAAGATCCCCTCTGATAGGCATATAAATGAAGCTAGGGGGTCAAAACAAAAACTATGTGATGAAGGTAGAACTATTACTCTCTACCCATCTAGTTCACATTCCTGATTTTATTATGCATATCTGCCAACAATAAAACTCCCGACTACATTTCTAATCTCCCTATATTTCTGTGATTAATGAGTTCTGGGATCCAAACAACTGACTTAGAAAGTTTTGACATACAACTCTTTTTTTGTTTTTTTTGTTTTTGTTTTGCTAGGCAATGGGGTTAAGTGACTTGCCCAGGGTCACACAGCTAGTAACTGTTATGTGTCTGAGGCCATATTTGAACTCAGGTCCTCCTGACTCCAGGGCTAGTGCTCTACCCACTTTGAGACATGCAACTCTTTATCAGAATTGAGAACTCACCCTACAGTAGTTAGCCAATAAGTATGTATTAAGCACTTACTATGTGCCAGGCTAAGCACTGGGGGTCCAAATACAAGTAAATACAAGAAATTACAAATACAAGAAAGACAGCTAACCTCTGCTCTGAAGGAGCTTACATTCTTATGGGGGAAGACAATACATAAAAGTGAGCTGAAAAGTGGGGCTGAGGGAGAAGGCACCCATTTGGTGTCAATGGTGGCAAGTGTAGAGAATGAGAATCAGATAGGGAAAAAAATGATGACTGTCCTGGGCCCTTCCTCACAATGAAGGTTCCAGGACAAACTCACCAATAGGGGAATGCTGGAAGCCAAGGTGAGTTACAGGATGAGAAGGCAGCTGAGGCAAGGTGGCAAGGTCTGCAGAGTCAGAAGCAGAATGTGGAGAGGAAAGAAGTCTGGCTATCCTAGGCCCTCGTTACTTCACAATTTCTATTAAAAAAAAAAACAACAACAACAACTGACTTTTATTACTACTTCTTTAACAAATTCCAGTGTCTAACAACTATACCTTATTTTTAGCAAGTCTTATGTCTTCAAAATATTTCTCTTTCTATCTCCAAAGTAATTTACCACACATCTCTATAATCTGTAAATTAATATACAAAAGTTCTACTTTAATGTCTCATCATGGGTGGGGTAAGCCTGGGTTCTCATGTTCTGGCAGGCCCTACCAAGGCTGGAAAGGTGCCCTCATATGTTAGTCATATGAGGACCAGCCTTATTAAATCTGAGTGATGCATCACCAGTGTGGTCCTTTACAAAGACCATCTGCTACACTACGAAGGGGTTGCGACCTATGTTGGTGGAAGGGAGTACCCTCACCAAACTCATGAATCCCTGAAGTGTGAAAGCATTAATTAAGGATTAGTTTTTCTTTCTATGTAATTCTGTGGGAGGAATCATCTCCGGAAATCTAGGCACATTTTTTTTTTAATCACTACTCTTATTTATGTATTAAACTAGTTTTAGATGGCTGGAAGGTCTGTGGTCAAATTACAGTGCTCTCTCCCTCCCACTCTTTTCTTTTCTCTCTTCCTTTTTCTTACCCTACCTCTCCGAGAAAGAAAAACCATATGACATCTACAACAAGGATTCTTCCCCTTTTTTGTGTCATGGCCCCTTTGGCAGTCTGGTAAAACCTATGGACCCCTTTTCAGAATCATGTTTTTAAAAACTGAAGGAAATACTAAATTTCATTTAGAGGTTAGTGAAAATAAAAAAATTTTTTTTCTCCATTCAAGTTCATGGACCTCCTGAAATCTATCTCAGATTAGGATGCTAGGATAAGAACACCTGATCTAGAGAAAAGAGAGTAAATAACCTTCTGGAAAAAAGAGTAAATAACACAGGACATAATTTCCACAGTATGTTTTAATCTCACTACAGTATCCGAATATCTTTTTTCTTTCTTTTTTTGGTGGTAATTAATTTTTTAATTTAATTTTTAGCTCATCTACAAAATTAGGTTGTACTCCAGGAGTTAATATCAATAATTATCTTTGAAAAAAAATGTGATACAACTTTATTGTAAAGAAACATACATAGTGATCTATATGTATGTGTATATAATAATAAATTACAAAGACTATGACAGTATAATATAGTGGAAAATGAACTGGACATGGTATCAGGAGACTGATTTTGAGTCCTAACTTTGCCACTACTTGTGAGACCTTGGGCAAATCATTTATCCTTTCTGATTCCATTTTCTCATCTGTAAAGTGGGACTAACAATACTTGCATCTTAGAAGGTTTTTGTTAGGAAAGTGACTTAGTAATATGGAAGCACTACAGAAATGTCAGCCAAGATCTGATGAGATTTTTTTAAAGACCAATTACCATTTTGATTTTATATAGTCCATTAATAAGCTATTTTAACTATGCTCCATAACAATAATATATACATTTTATTTTGGTCCAGAGCTATGATTTCATTAGTATAGAAAAGTCCCAATAAAGGAACTCCCCCAATAAAACATGAGCTCCTTCAGGCAAAGACTTTTTTGCCTTTCTTCATTAGGCTCACCAGAACCTAGCACAGTGCCTGGCACATAATAAACAGTGGAAAAAAAGGCTGTTGATCGATGGGTTGATGCATATGGGCACTGTGTTAGGACCAGGGTTTCTTCATTTCCCTGCTATAGGGATTAGGTTTCTCTAAAAGATACCAGAGCTGTTCCTAGAATCTAACTAGTCCCCGACTCCTTGAAATTTCTTGGTCATTTATAGGCATAAAAAGTCACAACCATGTGAATTCAGTACGCCCTCTGACTTGGTGACTATATGAAGACCACCTGAATGACCATACCCTGATGACCAGATGCATTTACATATGGAGATACCCAATATTAAAGAAGTTAAGGGGGGCAGCTAGGTGGCACAGTGGATACAGCGCCGGCCCTGAAGTCAGGAGGACCTGAGTTCAAATCCGGCCTCAGACCAAACACTTGACATATACTAGCTGTGTGACCTTGGGCAAGTCATTTAATCCCGATTACCTCACTAAAATTACAAAAAACAAAAACAAAAGAAGTTAAGGTGTCATTATTTCCTTATTGTATACCTTTGCAGTTTACTAACCTCCTGAGTGTCTCACTTTGTCCTAATATCAAACTAACAAGGTGCTGGCCCTTATGCCTGCCCCTAATTGGTACCAATTTTGCAATTTAATCTTAAAGAGCTGCCTGTCACACTAAGAAGTTAAGTGATTTGCTCAGGGTCATATAACCGATATATCAGAGGTAGGACAGGAAGGCAGGGCTTCTTGACTTTGAGTCCCTTTTCTATTCCCTCTACTCCACTGCCTTTAAATTTATTGTCCTACTGTAATATTAATTCATTTTTTTAAAGCACCTTAATGGAAAAGGCAAGAGCATATACAACACACAAAAACTGCACGGTGTATGTGTAACCATTAACATGTGGCACATTCTTTTAAACTAATGTGTGATGCAACGATAAACACTTTAGCTAAACCAGAGAGACATGATATATATCTTTTGCATTACCTTCCAGCTTTAAATACAGTATACAATTACTGCTACAAATTTTATAAGTTGCTGTTACTGGATACAGGAAGGAAAGCATGAGGGCAATGCAAATCCTCAAGGTAGAATTGCAGATATAAAAAGAACCCAGAAACATGTCTCCAAATGTAGGGGAACAATGATACTGTTTCCTGAACTTAACCTAGCACGTTTCCACAGGACCATCCACGTGAAAATTAATAAAACATTATGGGCCAGATGGTTTTCTTGAATTTCTTTCTTTAGTTCCTGGTTAAATCTTATTGAATCTGGGCTAAAAGGTTAGATTTCAACAATTTGTAGTCCAAAGTCCTATTTTCACAGAGTGCTAGACTTTGGTCACCAGATCCTACATGACAGCAACCTGATGAAAGTGGCTGGATCTTTCTTCTCTTTCCTCCCACAAGGTGTCATAGCCTGCCCGATAGAGGGCTGCTTTTGCTGACTAGGGAAAAGATCCCTTATCCTTAAAAAAAGACAAAAACGAAAACAAAACACCAAAAAAACCCAAAACCCAACACCAGCAACAATAATAATCAACAATAACTATAGCTAGGTGAGATCTTATAAGCTGTAATGCCTTAAGTTCTTCGTGGTACTTTGACAAAATGGATGACACATTAGATGAATGCATCAAAAAATTTTAGAGTTGGAAGAGACAATACTGGCCATGTAGTATAACCCATATACAAAAGGAATCTCCATTATAAACATATGGGGAAATGGTTCTGCCCTGCCATAACCAAAAATGGTTCAAAGGCTCTGCCTGACGACCTCCAAGTAGGGGGAAATCATCATCGACCAGGTAGTTCATTTCAATCTTGGATAGTTCTAGTTGTTAGGAAGTGTTTCCTGATATCAAGCCTAAATTTTCCTCTTTGCAGCTTCCACCCATAGTTCTGCTCACTGAGGCCAATCAATCAATCAATTAACATTTATTAAGAGCCTACTACATGCTAAGCACTGGAGCAGAACAAGTCTACTTCATCTTGACATCCCTTCAAATACTTAGAAGACAGCTGATAACTGTTTTTTGCTTTTTTTTTTCAATTGAGGTGATGTCAGAAAAACTTTGCAAAGTGCCAGGGTACCACTTTCTGGAGAAAGAATTCCTTAAGCTTCATGTACTGTTTCTCCGTGCCCAAGCCTGTTGGAAGATCATCCTGGCAAGTCACTGATTATTCAGCCTGGACTCTGCCACTGACAGTTCTTCCTTCTCTTCGGGACCAGACCCTGGAGAATTTTCCATTTCTAGAGACCCAGAAATTAACAGAGCAATAATAGCAACCAGAGAAGTAATAGGTGAAGAAGGTGGAGTTGGAGGAGAGTTAGGAAGGAGAAGTTCAAGCATAAAGCAGAAGAGGGGAAGGAAGAAGCCAGAGGTGCTAGTTGATTGATTAGTTGACTGAAGGGGGCAGAGTAAGGAAAGAAAAGGGAAAAGGGAGAGGAGGGGGGAAGTAGAGTAAGAGGGAGAGGGAAGGAAGGCAGAAAGAGTGAAGAAGACAGGATAAAAGAGGTGAGTAAGGAAGCAGGAAGGAAAAAGAGGCAGAGATACGAGGAGTAGGAAGGTAAGGAGAAGTAGGGAAAAGGGGGAAGAGGAAGATTAAGGAAGTAGAGGAGTAAGGGAAAGCAAAGGACAGAGCAGGGAGTAAAAGAGTGAGGAAGATAAGGGAATAAGTAGAGAAAGAACCAGGAAGGAGAGAGAGGAAAAGGAGGCAGGAGGAGTCAAAGAGAGAAGGAGCAGGAGGGAGAAAGGAAAAGAAAAGCAGGAAGGAAAGGGAGGAAGAGGGGACAAAAAGAGAAGGAGTAAGAGGGAAATGAAGAGAGAGGAAAAGAAAGAAGAGGAAGAAGAGGAGGAGGAAAAGTCCCACTTAAAATCCCACCTTGTAGAGGAAGCCTACTCTAACCTCTCTTAATACCAGGGCTTACCCTCTTTTTAATTTTTACTTATCCTGTCTAGAGCTTGCTCCGTATATATTGCATGTTGTCTTTCCCATTCAATTGTAAGGTCCTTGAGGACAAGGACTGTTTTTTGCTTTTTTATATCCCCAGAGCTTAGCAGAGTGTCTGGCACACAGCAGGCACTTAATGTTTATTGACCGGTTGACTGAAAAAGGAAGGAAAATGAATAGAGAAGAGACTAAGAAAGAGGGAGAAGAAAAGGAAGTGGGAGGGAGGAAAGAATAGAGGGAAAGGGTAAGAGAGTGGGAGAGGGGAGGGGAAGAAGATAGGGAGGAAGGAGAAAAAGGGAAGGGAGGTTATGTGAAAGAGAGGAAGATAAGGAGGTAGGGAGGAATGAAAGGAAGGAGGAGACAGAGGGAAGAAAGGGAAGCAGAAGGGAAGAAGTGGAGGGAGGAAGGAGGAAGGGAAGAGGAAGGC